GACTTCTTTCCTTTTCTCACCCTTCTCTCTCCAATATTTACTCCATCAGGAAATATTTTGGCTCTCTGCAAATTTTGACTACTTTGTATCACCTCCACTAAATCTACCTGGTCTGAGTTATCATCAGTTCTTGCCTGGGTTACCATAATTGGTAGCCCGTTATTCCTAACTGGTCCCTTTCATGCTTCCCCACCCCCCTCCCCCCATATATAGTCTGGCCACAATCCAGAAGCCAGAATAAGCCTTTCAAACTGAGTTTGTATCACTGAGCTCTGTTTTGGGTGTCTTTGTAAGTCCCTAATGGAGCCAGCATGTTCTTGCCTCAGGGCCTTTGCACTGGCCATTCCCTCTTCCTGAATGTTTTACCCCTAGGGTTTCCCAGGTGGCGTTAGTGATGAAGAACCTGCCTGCCAATGCAGGAGACGTAAAGGATGTGGGTTCCATCCCTGGGTCAGCAGGATCCCCTGGAGAAGGAAATGGCAACCCACTCCAGTATTCTTGCCAGGTAAATCCCTTGGACAGAAGAGCCTGGTGGTTGCAAAGAGTCGGACACGACTGCAGCGACTTAGCACCCTAGCACATGAAATCTCTGAATATCTGAATTTTTTCAATCTTTGCTAAATATAAGCTTTCTCAATGAGGTTATTTCCTTAAACCTTTCAAAAATTAAAAATATTGTAATACAGCTCTGAGAGTTGGAGCATAAAGAAAGCTGAGCTCTGAAGAATTGATCCTTTTGAACTGTGGTGTTGGAGAAGACTCTCGAGAGTCCCTGGGATGGCAAGGAGATCGAACCAGTCAATCCTAAAGGAAATCAGTCCAGAATATCATTGGAAAGACTGATGCTGAAGCTGAAGCTCCAGTACTTTGGCTATCTGATGTGAAGAACTGACTCCTTAGAAAACACCATGATGCTGGGAAAGATTGAAGGTGGGAGGAGAAGGGGATGACAGAGGATGAGATGGTGGGATGACATCACCAACTCAATGGACATGAATTTGAGAAAGCTCAGGAGTTGGTGATGGACAGGGAAGCCTGGCATGCTGCAGTCCATGGGGTTGTGAAGAGTTGAACACTACAGAGCAACTGAACTGAACTGAACTGAATACAGCTCTGTCTTTGCTTTTGGAACAGCTTCCTGTTGTTGTTTAGTCATTAAGTCACGTCCAACTCTTTACAACCCCATGAACTGTAGCCTGCCAGGCTCCTTTGTCCATGGGATTTTCCAGGCAAGAATACTGGAGTTGGTTGCTATATTCATTTCCAGGGGGTCTTCCTGACTCAGGGAAGGAACCCACACCACCTGTGTTGGCAGGTAGGTTCTTTACCACAGAGTCACCTGGGAAGCCTGGGTGAAACACCCACATGGCTCAAAATTGGGAAGGTCAAAAAGGGATTTAGTGGTAACTTTTCTTTTCACTACTATCTTCCCCCAGAAACCACCACTGTTTCTTATTTAACCTTCCAGTGATATTTTATACCTATGAAAGCAATATATAACTATTCTTTTTAAAATACAAATGGTAGTATTTTATTACACTGTCCTGCTTCTTACTTTTTTCATTTATCTGTCTTAGAGATTGAATGACTGTGTTGTATTCCATTATTTGGATATTCCATAATTTGCTTGAAACTTTGGTACTAGAACTTTCAGAATTCAGGATTCTAATACTTTGCTATAACCAACAATGCTGGAGTGTCTACCCTTGAACTTAGGTCATTTATCTCATATATGAGAATATCTGTGGGAAAAATTCTTGGAGGTGGAATTGTGGGGTCAAAGGAATGTGCCTTTGTAACTTTGATTGCATGTTAGCAAATTGCTCTCTATAGAGTTTGTACCAATTTACATTCCAAACAAAACAAAACAATAAAAACCCCCAAAACCAAAACAATGCATGAGTGACTGTCTTCTCTATGTCTTCACCAATATACTATATTACTGGTAAATCTTATTGGTAAAAAAAGTGGCATCTTAATTTAAATATACTCCTTTTTATGAGTTAGGTTAATCCCAAAAGTCCAAAAGCAATTTGTACTTTTTTTCTGTTAATTGCCTATTCACAGAATATTGGTTTTGTCCTTATTTTTCTATTCAGTGCCCTTGAAGAATAAGATGCACATGACTTTGGGGGAAGAGAGTGGGAACCAGGAAGATCAGAGCAGTCATTGAATTCTCCTGAGGTCACATAAGATAATTACAATAAGGACCAGGGACTCAGAATCTTAAATTTGCCAAGAATCTTAGAAATAACATACAACTGAAATTTTTTAGATCTAGTTTTAGTTTTTACCATTTTCATCTCCACCCACTCCACTCCTATCTCCATCAGAATCCTGAAAGTGTTCCACTTATAAAAACATTTCTAAACATTAAAAAAACTGCAATCAGCATATACTCTCCAAACGTAGGCCACGCCACTTGTGTATGCTTTCACGTAGACTCTATGAGAAAACGTTTTCTTTTCATTTTCACCTACAGTAGTCCACAATCCTGACATCTAAAATGCTCTTAAAAACAGAAAGGCTTTTAACAAGTTTGACACCAAAACTTATTTAGTGGCAAAACCTGACAGTAACTGATAGGTAACTATCCAGAGTGTTTATCTGTCACACTTACTATGACTATTCAAATGTTCTTTCAGAAGAGTTGTTCTTTCTTTTAAAAAATTGGAGTATAGTTGTTCACAATGTTGTGGTAATTTCTGCTGTATAGCAAAGTGAATCAGCTATATGTATACACATATCCCCTCTTTTTTGAATTTCCTTCTCATTCGGGTCACCACAGAGCATTGAGTAGAGGTCCCTGTGCTATACAAGAGGTTCTCATTAGTTATTTATTTTATCATAACATTAATAGCATACATGTCAATCCCAATCTCCCAATTCAACTCACATGCCCTTTCTTTTTTTTTTTCCCATTTATTTTTATTAGTTGGAGGCTAATTACTTTACAATATTGTAGTGGTTTTTGCCATACATTGACATGAATCAGCCATGGATTTACATGTGTTCCCCATCCCGATCCCC